TGCTGGATCTTTCTTGCAGCCTGGGCCAGGTTCGCGGTTGATACCCATCGCCAAGGCTGTTCTGACAGCAAGTCCAACGTACATATATGACCCTAATCGACACTCATCAGCTCAAACAACGCAGACTTATACACACATGAAATAACTCACAATGCGCGTTCAACTCATTTTGACAAACTTTCGCCTTCACAACTGTCAGCATTTCTTCGCACAACCAGCCGCCGTCTAAATCAACTTACCAAAAAGAAGTAGCACTGAACCATTTCCAGATCAGTCACCATTCCAAGTTGATCACACCGTCTCTTTGCCTCGTCAAAGAACCTTCTGCTCCATTGCAAGTTCTCGATCCCGTCAATCGGCTCATCCTCCCGCACTCCGATAAGGGCGCCCAAAGACAGAATGCTGTAATATAAAGCGATGAAACTCGATGGCGTCCGGGCAGCTTCTTGGTTCGACCAAATCATCTCGCAGCGGTCGAAGAAGATTTTCTTATCGAGGATGGGATGCACGTAGTGTATGCTGGAAAAGAAACTTTGCAGAAAGTGCCGGCATTGTGGGTAGTGAGTTACCGGCCTCGCAGACGACCTCTCCTCACCGGTGTGTGCTGGTCCTCCCTGGGGCTGATCGGCTGCTGGTGATGAGAAGGCGGGATTGTGAAGATTTGAAAGCAAAGTTCCCGCATCGGAGTCCAAGTCATTTGATACCACAGGCTCTTCACCGGTTCTCTGCACATGTGATAGAAGAGCGACTGACGATGAGCTTCCATAAAACTCCACGTTCCGAGTATGTCGGTTGACGCCGGAAACCTCTTGGCCAGCAGCATTTCTGGAGCGTGCATTTGACGGTGAGCCGACTGTCGTGCTTCGTGATGGCCGCCGTTGGAGGTTGCAGTCTGCCGGTGAGAAACCCTCGGCTATTTCGGGAATAGTTGCGGATACCGAGGCGTTGTCGTCTGTCGATTGAGCCTTCTGGCTCTGAGACTCTGCGAGAGCCGACAGGCTCTTGACCTGTTCTTCAAGTTGTCTCACATACCTGTCGAGGATCAGCAAAGCTACCGTTAGACTAGAAAGACTCCAGATGAGATACGTACTCTGGAGTGTAATGCCTCCTCGACATGTCTTGGCCTTTGTAGACACATGTTGCGCCGCGGTCTGAATTTTCACATTAGTCGCCACAACAAGCTCAATTGCGGGATTAAAAATCGCGCAAAAAACTCACTCTTGCAATAGGTGCAAGGATACAGCTCATCGCACTTGTTCTTCTTCGCCCTGCAGAGATCGCACGCTCGAGCGGCCCGGGGTCGGCGGACCTTGATGCCAGAGTTCTGCGTCGTGCGCTGGGCCTCTGCAGAATCCATCCTCTGTAGCGGCTGAAAACAGCGAGAACTGCCCGCCCGTGGGACTGCGCGTCGTACGTGAATGACTTCAGTATCGGAACACCCGTCTTCGGCTTGATAATCTGGGCCACTCTTCGATTCGCGAGTGTGGGAAGACGGGGGGTGCCACAGAGATTTGTGGTTGTATGCAGAAAGTGCAGAAGCTGTCGACGCCCGCCGCGCATCCGAAACGCAGCTCTGCCGCAGGAACGTGGGAACGATCAATTCTCCACTTCCCCGCACAAGACAAGCGGCATAAGACGGCAAGACGATGCGGGGACGGCGTGTTGTGGGGTAAGGTTGCGATCGCGGAACCCCTTCTTCAACGGAATTGCATGTGTGTTTATTGGTAAGCTTGGTCAGCTCCTCCTCAGGCCGGGGGCGGGCTTGACGGGCTTTGAAGTGGATGGCATGGGGGATCTGGCCGAGCCGTCTTGTTGAGTTGTTTGCTCAGCCTGCTTCAGTCACGAGGGGCCCGGTCATGCGCGAATAATGTTGAGCTGAATCGTGCGCGAAAAGGGGTGTTCATCCAACGCGTTCAGGGGCAGCAACCATAACCCATTGCAATATAGGCCAACTCAAGATTTTCGTGTCCTCTTCTCTTTTCCATATCAGATGAAATCCATGTTAGTAGTATCGATCTTCACTCTGAGATTCAATGCCAGAAACAAATGCGACCTTGAGCTCCTGGCCAGCTCTGGCAAACCCCTTGTTCCGCTTACTAAACCTCCAATAGAGACTAAGGAGAGTCATGGCCGACTCCACTCGCAGCCGGCAATTCCGGCTTGTTTACGTCGGCTTTGCCGCCGACGTTGCAGCCCGCGAGTAGGGCCGAAATCAAAAGTCCCCAATGTTACAAAGCGGACGATCTTTACGATCCAAGTCATATGCACGAGCAATCACAATGGAGAAAAGCTGATGGAGCTTGCAGCGAGACCCGCAAAAAGAGTTTCCAGCACTACCCAACGCAGTTTCGTAACTTTCGTAGCTAAAATGAACAAAAACAACTCAAAACAGGACCCCCTGTTTTCTACCCGCTTCACTTGGTATCCACCGGCCCCTCGTTGAACTGGTAACTCTCGAACTTGCGCGCCGAGATGCGCATATCGAACATCTGGTCCAGCTCCTCAAACGTGCGGCCCTTGGTTCCTGGAACATCAAAGTAGAGAACCACCAACATGAGAACGCCCATAATAAAGAAGATCCACCCAATGTGACCACCCATGTTGAGCTGATCGGTGTTGAAGAGGTACGGTAGGATGATGGTCCAGATGGTGCTGACGATGGATGAGAAGGCCACACCAATGCCAAGGGACTTGGCACGGAGCTTCGAGGCGGAGACCTCGCCTGCAACAGCCATGGATGCACCGACCGCAGGTCCGTAGGATATAGATGTGAAAATGAGGGCCACACCGATGGTCAGGAGCGACGCGTTCGTCTTCGGGAATGCCGCGGCGATGCCCATGGTCAGGTACAAGCAGACGCACACGGTGATACCAAAGAACATCAACGGGCGATGGCGGAACCTCATCATCGAGAAGGCGTTGAGGATGGCAGAAACGAGACCGACAGCAATGCCGACCTGCACCAGCATGAGGACGGTGTGGCTGTCAAGACCGGTCTGGTTGAGGAAGTAAGGGGCGTTGGACGAGAGAACGGCGCCAGTGACTTGCGGGATGTAGAAGCAGATGAGGATAATGCGAGTTCTGCGCCAGTTGGTTCCCTTGAAGCAATCGACAAAGGAGGCCTTCTCGGCAGCCAGACGGCGCTCGGCTTCGACGTTCTCGATGATCTGGTTCAAGCGGGTGTCGATGTCTTCCGTGGCGCCGGAAAGTCGCTCCAGAGACCGGCGAGCCTTGTCGTGCTTGTTCTTGAGCACCAGCCATGTTGGTGATTCGGGCATGAACGGCAAGCCGAGAGCGAGGATTCCGGGGAAAGCCCAGGCCGCGGCGAAAACGACGCGAAAAGCGGACTTGTCCATGATTGCGGTTCGGGAGAAGCTGGATGAGATGGCGATGAGGAAGCCCAAGTTCTGTTCGTTGCTGGTTAGCATAGCTGTCAACTGGCGCCTGCTTGTGAAAGACACTTACCAGCATGATGGTGTTGACCGAGAGCGCGATGCCTCTGATAGGCAGAGGAGCAATCTCAGAGACATACGTCTGGGTAGTCGCGGTGAAAAGACCGACAGAAAATCCAGTGACGATCTTGCCTCCCAGGAATTGAGAGGGGGTCTCTGAGACGTAGCTGATTGCAATACCGCAAGCGGAAACGACAATCGCCATCGCCATGACCGCCCGACGACCGAACCAATCTTGAACGTATCCAGCAGTGAATGATCCAAAGAACATCATGGTGTTGTACATGGCGTTCCATGCTGACTGCCAGTACGCCGGAATGATCAGAGCTCCATTGACCTCAGACGCAAAGGTCATCCTGAAAACACCTCATTGTTAGAAACGCTCAATGAGTCTGGCGAAGCAGAGTTTGCGCTGTTGACTTACTGGAATGCCGGCATGGCCAAGCATACTGACAATGCCAGGTTCTCGAAACCAACCAGACAAGATCCAACTGAGTTGTCATTTGTTAGAGTTGCATGTCAACCGTGATCGGACGAACTACTTACTGTTGGCGTACAGAGTCCAAAGAGCAATCTTCGGATTCCGACGCAAACACTCCATCGGACTCATCTGGCGGTCGGCCTCCCGAAGGGCCTCTTCATTGTGCGTGACATCCACCTTGACGTCGTGAACCTCGTCGCGAGGAGAGTCCATCGTTCAGAGTCGTTCGCCTGGCAGGCGGCTTCGACCGCGTTGTCGTCGGGTGAGTAGTAACGCCGACCCGGTGTGTTGGTTCGCTTGTGCTTTACGTTCCTGCGCAATGCACAAAGGGTATCGGGGTATCTCTCAAGGATTGCTGTGAAGATCTGTGGTTCAGACGGAGCGTCGGCGACTGGACCTTCCGATGTGGTTGTTGACAGATCTAGATTGTCAGTCGATGGCCAGGTGTTGATGGGCTGATTGACCACGGAGGATTATATCAAAGTTCACCGACTCGACAAGCAGGTTCCTGCGACGCTGGCCGGGATCTATCCGGGCTCGCGGCCGGAAGTCCCGACTGCACCCCAGACTCTTCTCCAACGCTTAGGGTGGCGGGGTCCCCGGATGCTACTAGCCACTTTGGCCATCGGCACTTCAGATTGGGGCAAAGCTTGGTTCTGTCACGCTTGACACGTAACTGCGCAGGTGATCGCACACTTCCACCAGGCCGAGAAAAATGGGCTTGTCGTGTCAAAATGCTGGGTCCTCAGCCACCCGCTACACATTGCACCGAGAACATGCAGCACGGGACATCCGGGCAGGAGTTGCTTTGTATTCGCAAGCCTAAGCTGTCAATGCCAATTGACTTTCAATAACACTTCGGATGGCAGGAGCCAATCAGGACACAAGACGGTGTGGTTTGCTAGCCCAAGCGATCACGATGCTGGTGTAGAGGCTGACTGACAACCACCAAGAGAAATTGAGTGTCTCACTCTCCGGATCTCCGAACCGGGTTGCTGGCACGAAGAACGCATGATGCAGCTAACTTATTTTGTATCAAACTAGCTCATGAATCGAATGCATTTGGGTCATTTGATCAAGCTCTCGAGGAAGTCGAAGCCTTCGCGCTGGAGGTTCCAAGTCTGAGATCCGACTTTCATCTTGGCGGCAAAGGTATGTTCCTCGCCCGGAATTTCCCTCAAGTCAGATTTGACCCCCTTTTCTTGCAGAGTCTTAAACAGCGCCCTGCTTAGATCAATGGAGACCATTGTATCCGCTTGCCCGTGGACTATGAACGTCGGCGGGAAGGACGCGCTGATGTTTCTTATGGGGTCAACCTCGTCCCAATTATGGGATGGGACTATCGTGTTCATGACGTTGCCATTGGCGATTTGCGTCATGGCGAACGCCTGTCGTGGGTCGTCAAAGTTCGGAGGACCCGGGGCCTGTCCCTCGAGGGAAACGCCACCCAGAATAGGCACTGGGTCCTCATCAAACACTTTGTTTAGGAACTCCTCAGTCAGACCTGAGGGAAGTCTAGCGGCGACGTGTTCGAGCTTCTTTGTCCAGAACGGATCTGTGAAGTTGCTTGGGCCATACATGTCGTAAATTCCAGCGACAGGACGGGGAACCCCAAACCCCTGAGTTGGGTCATCTCGTCAGCGCCATGTGTCACTTCGCTAATCTGGAGACTTGGTCCCTCTGAAGTCTAGTTTCGAGCTGCATGAACTTACCAAGCTAAGCGAGAGTGTGCCGCCGGATGAAGTTCCAAACGCAAATACGTGATCAGTATCAATAGCATATGACCCCTCAGCTTGGATATCAACGGCCTTTTGCAGACTGCCATCGTACACCCAAGCAAGAAGGTCACGGCAGTCCCTCATGGGTCCATCGAGCAAGGAGACTTGGGGACAGAGCCGGTGATTAGGAGCCAAGACGATCCATCCTCTGCTGAGACAGTCATTTACTTGGTCTCTGTTGACCATCTTTGACGAGCCTAGCATGAAGGCTCCTCCATGGATGTTGATGACTATTGGCAAGGCCCACATTAGTCCGAAGAAACTCCTTTCGTGCTGCAAAAGGCAGTCATGGGTCAGAACATACCAACCGGATGCGATGCCTTGGCCTCCGCCGGCGGGGGCACGTAGACATCCACATCGATCTCTTGCTGACCTATGGTCTTGTAGACTGCGCGGAAGGGGGGCTGGGTCGTCATGGCTGCTGTCGTGCTTGGCTTCAATACGGGAATCTTTCTGCAGAGAGAAATCTCGGATACAAATCCAGTCTTAAAGTCCGGGGTAATAGTGCGGCGGGGACAACCTAGATAGCTGAACAAGAACTCGTTGCTTGTGGACCTTCGTGAGAATTCCCTCCGAGCCGGCATTCCGGGGTGTGGAGTTGTGGCAACTCACCCTCGAGACGGCGGATGTTCCGCGGGTGTTCCGGAAACTGCCGGGAATTCCGGGCATCCGTAGACGCCGCTCTGATATCCCGACGTTAGAGGCCAACAAGGCAATGTGGTCCCGGTGGGCGTCCCCTCATTATTTCGGCTCCAGCGCCGTTGCGAACGCGGGGAAACGCAGCTCTAAAAAGAGGCTCGACAAGCGCCCCAAAAGCACTCATCGACAAACAATTAACCCCTCAACCCCTCATCCCCTCATCAACTCGTTCACACGTGCAATCAGCTTGCCGCCCCCTTGCACCCCACACATACCTCATCCGCAAACAGGCATTCTTTCCTTGATTATTGGACACTACTGCCCAACATGAGCATTCCGGTCCACTCGACTCCCCCTGACGCCAGGACGACGTACATCATTGACCAGCTCGAGGGCGAGCGCGTCACGATCCCCGGCAGCAAGGGTGTTTTCAGAATTCTTGCATCTTCAAAACAGACAAACGGTGGTATCGCCGTCTTCTCCAGCGGTGCCGTTCTTTCCGATGCACCCGGTTTTCACTGGCACTCGGAAGCTCACGACGTCTTCCTCGTTACCAAGGGTTACTTGAAGCTATGGAACGGCGACAAGTGCAGGATCATGGGTCCTGGTGACTTTGCCTATGTTCCCCCTGTAGGTCACACCCGCTCGAAATCCTTTCTGTGGAGAGATTGAATTCTAATATTTAACAGAAAGTTATTCACAACCCTGAGCTCCTGGGCCCTCATACGGAAACCTTGGGCTTGGTCGCCCCTGGTGACTGGGTAGACTTCTTCCGCTATGTCGGAGAGACATACAAGGGCGTCATCGTACCAGAAAACGACAATCGCGACCTTAAGAGCTTGTTGATTCCCAAGGTCATGGCCGCAAAGGACCGCTTTGATGTCCACTTTGAGCGCAACTACACGCCTCCCGAGGTCTCAGACTGGCAGGAGAGCGAAAACGTCCTCCCGGGACCTCTGGAGCCCTATTTCCTCCGTGCGAACACCGGCCCCAGATACATCCTCGGCGGTGTTCTGTCACGCCCTTTCATCAACGCCTCGCAGTGCAGCGGCAAGTTCGCCATTACCAGCCTCGAGTCCTCTAAGCTGTACGAGAAGTCGCCTCTCTCAAGGTGGCTGACGTTCCCCACGGTGGACCATTGCTTCTGTGTCCAGGAGGGCGTGCTCAAGATCAAGCTGAAAGAGTATGGGGAATGGACTGAGGTCCGCGAGGGACAGACTCTCCTGGTTTCTGCCGGACAGGCCTTTACGCTCGACTTCGGCACCCGCTTTGTAAGGGCTATTGTGTTTACAAACGGCCCTGGCATTGAGACCTTGATTGAGACGGCGGGTGAGGCATACTCAAGTTTCGTGCTGCCAGAGGAGAGCGTTGAGTGGAAGGAGGATCGCCTCTCGGAGGCGGTCAAGACTCTGGGCGTTGTTGCTGAGGCGTTGTAATCTCGCAGAGACACGTGAAAGCATTCGAGAATTGAGCATTTGAAGAATAGTGCGCTCATCTGAGGCTATGGCTATTTTGTAGAGCTTGCATTATGATTAGCAGACGTTTGAGCGAACAATAAGAACTTGTTAAAGTCACTCGCACGCTGGGTACCCAGTGAGAAAGAGGATGAGGTCTCAGGCCTGAAATAACACCCATAGAGAGACCTGCTGCTTCAGAAGCTTGAGACTCCTGCAAAACTCTGCAAAGTTATTTGAGATGAAATTTCACAGCGCTTCCATATTTCAAATGCTTTCGTGAAGATTTGGTTTTCTCTATCCGGTTTATTTTTCCATTGTTTTTTCATGTTCTATCTAGAAAGGGAGATTTTTACTAACAAGCTTCAAGGCATCAGCAGATATGCTGCTGTTTGGCCTCATTCATGCAACTTTCTTTGGGTCAGCATGAAGATTGGCTGAGTTACAAATGATGCATTAAAGAATCTCATGATGCTTCCAGGCAGATTGAGAGTGAGTGAATGCACCGACGAATCGCAGCTGGCACCAGGTGTGGGGCCAGCAAGGGAGAGAAAAAAGCCATCTGGGTCACGTGTTCTGGCACTGTCAGCGCGTGACAAATTTCCACTTGGCGCCCGGCGCCAACGACCTAACCGCGTCTCACCCGGACGACAAGCCAGCCCAACCAAAAACCTTTCAACAAACGACGAAAGGCCTTCATTTTTCATCAGAGCACCCACGAAAAATGACAGACTCATCAGACGAATCTGCCACCGAGGGCGTCGGCCTCGTGCAGAACGATGCATCCGACTCGGAAAACTCCGTCGACTCTGAGGTCGAAGACCAGGGCACCGGCTTCCTCGACGTCGAGGCTTCCGAATCAGGCGGCAGCGACTCCGAGTCCAGCGACGACTCGTCCGATGAGGAATCAGACTACGACGACATCCTTGGGGCAGGCAGCAGCCGCAAGGCGCAACCCAAGGCCGTCTTTACCCAGTTCAAGAAGCTGCCTATCGAGCTGCGCCATCGCATCTGGCAGTACTTCTGTCCTGATCTTGATCGTTCACCGCGCGTTCTTTCCTTTCAGATGGTCTGCTCACCGACGCAAGATGTCATCTGGGAAAGCGCGACCCTGGATAACCAGATCCGGGCGGTGGACGCGATGCTAGGTCTTCACCAAGAAAGTCGCGAGATCGCGCTCAAGGCGTTCCCAGACACGCTAGCCATTCGCGAAGGTCGCCGGATCGTGCACTTCAACAAGGAGCGCGACATTGTGCACATCAATGGCCATAGGAAGGAGTGGGCTCACAACGCCGTCATCCCAGGATTTTCAGAAAACGTGCTCCACCTCGCTGCAGATATCGACTACTTCCAACTCAAGGAAATGCAGACTCTCGCCTCCTTTCCCGAGGTGATCAACTTTTACAAATTCGAGTGGCACAATGAGGGACGTCCCCCAAAGAAGCTGCGATGGTGCGCTTCGGACAAGATTCACCGTTACGAGCTCCAGCAGTTACAGCGAGAGTGCCGGATTGGCGAAGACCTGCACTTTGTGTACTGCTGGCCTGATGTCGACAAGCACCCGGAATTTGCCGCGAAACACGCATCTGAGCAGTTTGCGGCCATGGACGGTCTGGATGAACTCAGCGACGAACTCCGGGAGACGATCCTGGAAGGGGACCCTGACCTCGAAGCCAAGACTGTCGAGGAGTGGGATGTCATGTTTGAGCAGCTCTGCGACATCAAGTACTGGCGAATGACATGCTTCGGTTGGGACGCCGCGGATGGGTTTCCCGCATTCTTGGCAAAGCATGGTGATGCACGGGAGTACGACCCCAATGAAGATGAAGAAGGCGACGAGGTCGGAGAATCATCGGAAGAAGACGACTCGGATCAGAATGAGTACGAGAGCGACGGTATCGACGACGCCACCATCGATGAAGAGTCTGTAAATGAGGACCCGGACGTGGATGACCTTGAGATCGACGGCAGCCAGGAAAGCGAAGACGATGAAGATGGTGGCGCTTCTGACTTTGGCGGGTTCTCTCCGCTGAGAGACGAGGACGGCGGCAGCATGCTGGTCGACGGCGATGCTTCAGCGGCACAATTTTCAAGTCCCGAGCCGGAGGCTGCGGGAGACCGCCCGCGTGGGCGAGGCGGTAGGCCTTTGGTGGTACTGGACGACGATGATGAGGAGGAAGAGACCGAGGGACAAGACTCGCAACCCCCAGCCAGAAGCCGAAGACGTGAATTCTTTAAGATCGACTCCGAGATTGAGGACGAAGACGAGGAGGAACAGCCTGCCCAGATTACAACCCGGCGCCGACGTGTGGTTGTATCCGATGACGAAGACGAAGATGAGGAGGACGAGGCAGAGAAGCCTGCACGACCGGCAGGGCGACGCGCTCGGGTACTACCATCAGACGACGAGGAAGAAGACGAAGACGAGGGCGGTGCAGAAGTTGGCGTCGACAAGACCAAGGATGAGTCGGACGAGGAAGAGGAACCGTCAAGAGCAAAGAAGCCCCTTTCGCTCGCTGAGAAACTCCAACGCAATCGCCGACAAAACCCGATATCGGACGACGAGTCCGAACAAGAACAAAGCTCGGAGGAGGATGCGCCGCCAAAGAAGATGTCGCTCGCCGAGAAGCTCATGGCCCATCGTCGCAAGAACCCCATCGAGTCCGAGTCGGAGCCTGAGACGGAAGGCACCATTGGCGTTGACGATACCGACGATGAGGAGGATGAAGAAGAGGACGAGGATGAGGAGAGCGGCATGTTCATGAACATGGCCGAGGAGGGCGAATCGGGAGACGAGCAGGATGAGGATGATTACTAGACGCAGGGAAGCGATTCTTTCTCGGGCTTATTAACGTCTGCATGTACGATCGGATGTAACAAAAACGCTCCCTTAAATATTTTTAATTCCACGAAGATCACATTTCCAACTTCATGGCAAGCCAGAACAGGCGCAACCGAAAACCACAGAATCGCTTCAGACTCTTTTTAATAGAAATTCACCAGTTAAGGTCACCAGGTCAAAGTCCTAAATTCAAATGTAGCAAATCATCGCGAGCAGGTGCAACCAAAAACCACAAAACCCCTTCAGACATTTTTTAAAAGAAAAAAAAAAAGTAACCAGTCAATTCAGCAAACAAAAATTGATAAAAAAAGCAAAAGTTCGGAACAATCTCGATTGGGGTGCAGAGTCCCAAGGGAGATTCGAACCTATGAAACTCACCCGAAGGTTGGTTTCTACCCTCACTTTGACTTGCCGCTGGGCTAAAGACGGCCTCTGGAGTTACGGATGCGGCCGGCCAGGACGAGAGAACCAGATGGCTACC